TTTATTAATTTAAATTTTTACCTACGTGACTTTACCGAAAAAAACCTAAGAATATGAATCCTTGCAGTCACGAAAGCTTCAAATCTAGAGATAATGATCGTGTTTATATTATCCATGATAGAAGGGGGGTTGGGTTTGTTGGATTAGATTTCGTAAATATATACATGTTGAACTCTTCTGTTCTCTCGGTAAAGTCACGTAGAAAGAACTAAAATAAAATAAATCACGACGTTTCGGAGGCAACACGAGCCTCCGTCATCAGGCGAGAAAATGTATAAATGTTGTGTCGTTAAACCCGCCACCACCCGACGCAGCCAATTGGTAAGGTTTGTCACGTAAACAGAAGATGCCAATTCGTTATTAGTACAGCACTAACCGGTGTGTTGGAGGGTAAATCCGCGAAAGCGAAAGCCCACGTGTTCATCTGACTCGCGTCTCATATCGATGTTACTACAGGAGCGCAATGACCAACACGAGTCCCGGCAGAGCGCATGGACTGCGAGTGGCCGTGACGCAGAGCTCCGCGTGGGGAGCACGGAGCTCCGCGTGGGGAGCACGGAGCTCCGCATGGACCCAGCAGTCACTCAGCACTCACTCACTCACCCACTCACCCACCCACTCACCCACCCACTCACTCACCCACCCACCCACCCACTCACTCACCCACCTACTCACCCACCTACTCACTCATCCACTCACTCACTCACCCACCCACTCACCCACCCACTCACCCACCCACTCACTCACCCACCCACTCACTCACCCACCTACTCACCCACCTACTCACTGATCCACTCACCCACCCACCCAGCACTCACCCACCCACTCACCCACCCACCCACTCACCCAGCACTCACCCACCCACTCACCTACCCACTCACTGATCCACTCACCACCCACTCACCCAGCACTCACCCACCCACTCACCCACTCACTCACCCACCCAGCACTCACCCACCCACTTACCCACCCACTCACCCACTCACTCACCCACTCACTCACCACCCACTCACTCACTCACTCACTCACCCACCCACTCACCCACCCACTCATCCCACTCACCCAGCGCTCACCCACCTACTCACTGATCCACTCACCCATCCACTCACCCAGCACTCACCCCCGTGTCTACGCGTCTCTGCCTTCGCCTCGATGCAGAACGGAAGGAAGGGAGGAGGGAGGAGACGCCTCGAGGTCGTCTGGACGCTGCTCTCGCTCGGCACTAGTTCTCTCAGCGCCACTCCGCCTCCTCCTGCACGCGGAGCCTCCCGGATCCCGCCCCGTCCCCCGTGACACGGGGGGGGGAGGCGGATTTCAGTCCCACGATTATTTATTTATCATCCCTACTGCCGCCACCGTTACTTCTCTTGCTGCTGCTGATGCTGCGGACGACACGAGACGTGCCCTGCGAGCCGGAGGGGCGCTGTCCTCGAGAGGTTGGGGCTCGTCTCTGTCTCTCCTCGTGTCTCTCTGTATCTCCCTCCGTGTCTCTCTGTGTCTCCCCGTGTCTCCCTCCGTGTCTCTCTGTGTCTCCTCGTGTCTCCCTCTCTGTCTCCCTGTCTGTCTCTCTGTGTCTCCCTGTCTGTCTCTCTGTGTCTCCCTGTCTGTCTATCTGTGTCTCCCTGTCTGTCTCTCTGTGTCTCCCTGTCTGTGTCTCCCTGTCTGTCTCTGTGTCTCCCTGTCTGTCTCTCTGTGTCTCCCTGTCTGTCTATCTGTGTCTCCCTGTCTGTCTCTCTGTGTCTCCCTGTCTGTGTCTCCCTGTTTGTCTCTGTGTATCCCTGTCTGTCTCCCTGTGTCTCCTTGTGTCTCCCTGTCTGTCTCTCTGTGTCTCCCTGTCTGTCTCTCTGTTGTCTCCCTGTCTGTCTCTGTGTGTCTCTGTCTCCCTGTCTCTCTGTGTCTCCCTGTCTGTCTCCCTGTGTCTCCTTGTGTCTCACTGTCTGTCTCTCTGTCTCCCTGTTTGTCTCTCTGTTGTCTCCCTGTCTGTCTCTGTGTGTCTCCTCGTGTCTCCCTGTCTGTATCTGTGTCTCCTCGTGTCCCCCTGTGTCTCGGTATCTGTGTGCGTGTCTCTCACCGTGTCTGTATCTCCTCACGTGCTCCCCTCCGTGTCTCTGTCCCTCTCTTCATTCTGTCTCTCTGCGTCTCTCGAATGCTCTCCCCTGCGTCTGTCTACCTCGCACACTCTGTCGTTCCTTGCGTCTCACCGCGTCTCTCTCCGTGTCTCTCTCCGTGTCTCTCACCGTGTCTCTCTCCGTGTCTCTCACCGTGTCTCTCTCCGTGTCTCTCTGCGTGTCTCCCTCCGTGTCTCTCTGCGTCTCTCGAAAGCTCTCCCCTGCGTCTGTCTACCTCGCATACTCTGTCGTTCCTTGCGTCTCCCCGTGTCTCTCACCGTGTCTCTCACCGTGTCTCTCTCCGTGTCTCTCACCGTGTCTCTCTTCGTGTCTCTCACCGTGTCTCTCTGCGTGTCTCCCTCCGTGTCTCTCCCCGTGTCTCTCTCCACGTCTCTCTCCATGTCTCCCTCCGTGTCTCTCTCCGTGCTCTCTGCGTGTCTCTCTCCACGTCTCTCTCCACGTCTCTCTCCGTGTCTCTTCCCGTGTCTCCCTCCGTGTCTCTCTCCTTGTCTCTCTCCGTGTCTCTCACCGTGTCTCTCACCGTGTCTCTCTCCGCGTCTCTCTTCGTGTCTCCCTGCGTGTCTCTCTCCAGTCTCTCTCCGTGTCTCCCTCCGTGTCTCTCTCCGTGTCTCTCTGCGTGTCTCTCTCCACGCCTTTCTCCACGTCTTTCTCCGTGTCTCTCTCCGTGTCTCTGCGTGTCTCCCTCCGTGTCTCTCACCGTGTCTCTCTCCTTGTCTCCCTCCGTGTCTCTCTGCGTGTCTCTCTCCGTGTCTCTCTCCGCGTCTCTCTCCGTGTCTCTCTCCGCGTCTCTCTCCGTGTCTCTCTGCGTGTCTCCCTCTCCGCGTCTCTCTCCGTGTCTCTCTCCGTGTCTCTCTGCGTGTCTCCCTCCGTGTCTCTCTGCGTGTCTCTCTCCGTGTCTCTCTCCGTGTCTCTCTCACTGTATCTCTCACCGTGTCTCTCTGCGTGTCTCTCTGCGTGTCTCTCTGCGCGTCTCTCTCCGTGTCTCTCCCCGTGTCTCTCTCCGCGTCTCTCTCCGTGTCTCTCTGCGTGTCTCCCTCTCCGCGTCTCTACATCTTCGTGTCTTTCTGCATCGTTCGCCGCATCTCCCCGTGCCTCTGTGTCTGTCTCGGGGAGCGGTGGCGAAGCGGTTAGCGCTATGCTGCACTGCGAACCCGGTGACCCGAGTTCGATTCCCGCTTACGGCCAACACCGTTGACGGTTATCTGAACCGGTGATGGGCCTCCCCTAGGTCGACTCAGCTTCAAATGAGTATCTGGTGCAGTGTGTAAACATCACAACTAGGGAGACAAAGGCGGCCGGGCGCGGTGCTGGCCACCCACCCCCTCGTGTGCCGTGCCGGCCTTCATAGGTGCTCGTTAACAGCACTTGCCCCGACAGTCTGTCAAGGCTACACGGGGGATCGTTGTCTTTGTCGCGTTTCTCCCCGGCGTGTTTATCGTCTCACCTTGTCCCTTGGACCACTTGTCTAAGTCGTCTAAGTTGTCTAAGTCGTCTAAGTCGTCTAAGTTGTCTAAGTAAGTTGTCTAAGTTGTCTAAGTCGTCTAAGTAAGTTGTCTAAGTAAGTTGTCTAAGTTGTCTAAGTCGTCTAAGTTGTCTGAGTAAGTTGTCTAAGTAAGTTGTCTAAGTAAGTTGTCTAAGTTGTCTAAGTCGTCTTCCCCGTGTCTCTGTCTGCAGCTGGCGCTTTGGCTGCTCTAAGAACCGCGTCTCTGCTCAACGACATCGGCCGTGGGTTACCCCGAGTCACAGAGAAGTCTCTCACGTGCCTCCACTGCAACCAACAACAGCAACAGCAGCTCCGATTAGCACGGTTGGCTACGTACGGTGCGAAAGAAGTTCTACATACAACAGCAGTTGCAGCAGCAATGACACCGAGACAATAACAACAACAGTAACATCAACAACAGCGGGACACCACCAACAACAACAACATTGAGGCAGCAAGAACGTTGGAATAGACAGCAGCAGCAACAAGGCCGACCACAGTGGCACAACTTGTAGTGGTGGTGGTTGTTGTTGTTGTTGCAGCCAGCAACCTCGACTCAGTAAACGGAGGTTCATGCGGAGACGATAAAACACATTGCCATCACACCATCATCAACATCACCGCTATAACCATCAACATCACCGCTATAACCATCATCACTACCACTATAAGCATCATCATCACTATAACCATCATCATCACCACTATAAGCATCATCACCATCACACCATCATCAACATCACCGCTATAACCATCAACATCACCGCTATAACCATCATCATCACCACTATAACAATCAACATCACCACTATAACCATCATCACTACCACTATAAGCATCATCATCACCACTATAACCATCATCATCATCACCACTATAACCATCAACATCACCGCTATAACCATCATCATCACCACTATAACAATCAACATCACCACTATAACCATCATCACTACCACTATAACCATCAACATCATCACTACCACTATAATCACCGTCGTCATCATCTTCAGTGGGGGTTTTAAGCACAATTATGACCGAATGAAATCATAACCATCACCAAATCGCCCCGGCAATATCGCGCTTGTGTTCGAACCATCATCATCACTGTCACCACCATCATCATCATCACCAACAACACCACCATCATCATCATCATCACTGTCATCATCACTGTCACCACCGTCATTATTATCATTGTCCAATTGTCGCTCTAGCAAATACCCTTACAGCATTCGTCATCTTCATCACCACCACCATCATCATCATCGACCACGGATGCTGACACCACTGATGACACCACTGACGATTATGACGACGATGATGATGGCGGTGCTGTCGAGTGCGTCACTAATGACAGATGTTACCTCCACCTGCCGTGTTGCCCGCTAAAGTTTCTCCTCGCAACTCCGACTGAGATTTTCGACGGCGGTCCCTTTCCTTGTCGGAGCCGGCACGTGGCGCACAGCGTAGACCCCCCTCCGTCTGCAGATAATACACAGATCCACTCCCAGTGCTAGAGCACAGACGAGCAACGCATGCGTATCTCGAGCCGTGCACAGACACACACAGCATGGGGCAGTCGTCGTGCTTGATGGAGCTGGTCCCAGCTTGACGTCTGGCCGCTTGAGCGTCGCACTCGGTTCACTGCTGCACCGAGATCGTGCCGATTGCAAGCTGATTATATTTGTATTATTATTGATGTTGTTGATGCGATTAGTATTTTAATTATGATGGACACAAATCAACATCCGCTCTCCGAATTTTTTCGCGATCACATTTTTTTTATTTTGAAAAAAATAAATAATAATCATCGGCTTTCGGATTTTACTAAGTTGTAAAGAATGCTGATCGGATAATCATCTTATATGCACTAAATGTGTGTGTGTGTCAGAGTGTTTACCTCTCGAATCCATTCGGAAGGTCATTTCACTTGACATTGTCGCTCATAGCGGTCAAAGCGCACCGCGCTACGAAGCTTGCGACCCGAGTTCGATTCCCGTTCACGGCCACCAACACCGCTGACGATTATATGAACCGGTCCTGGGCCTCCCCCTAAGTCGACTCAGCCTCAAATGAGTAGCCGGAACGGTAGTGTGTAAAACATCGCTACTCGGGAGACAAAGGCGGCCGGGCGTGGTGCTGGTCACCCACCCACCCCCTCGTGTGCCGTACCGGCCTTCATAGGTGCTACTCGCTAACAGCACTTGCCCCAACAGTCTGTTAAGGCTACACGGGGGATCTTTGTATTTGTGCAATACCCACTGGGGCAATACGGCCTTGGCAGCGGCATCCTTTGTAACACCGCTTCCAACGCTATGTGATACATCTACAGAACGTAACCACACTATAATTAGACTTTTCCAGACCTTCCCATTTGGCAAACGTCCAACACTTAATTGTAATTAGGCTTCCACCATCGCTCAGTAGAAGATTGACGAAGTGGGCGTGGTGGCTCTGCGGAGTGTGTGAGTGTGTATATCACACACACACACTACACCCACGACACACACACTACACACACCACACACACACGACACACAGGAGAATCGAGTCACCGATCAGCCCGTGCGCACCGCAGATCAACCTCGGCGAAGGGCATCTGTGGGTCTAAAACATCTGCAACTCAAAGCGCATCGCCACTCATCAATCAATCAACCCCACCGCGCTCCAACATGTGGGACATTCTCAACAACAACTCCTTCACAACCACCACCACAACAACCACCACCATCAACAACAACTTCTGGTCACCCGCTCACGACCTCACCACCCTCCTCAACTGGTCGAGCACCGCAACTCCGGACGCTTCATCAACCTCCTCATCATCATCCTCATCGACGCCATCCTCCTCCGACGCCGTCGCCACGGCGGTGATGGCCACGGTGCTGTCGCTGCTCTGCGTCCTCGGCGTGAGCGGCAACGTCTACACCCTCCTCGTGCTGCGTCTCCTCTCGCGTCGCCGCAGCAGCCGCCGCGCCTCGGGCTGCCGCGGCGGAGTGGGGTCCTCCGGCACCACCGCGGACTCTGTCTACTGCTTCGTGCTCAACCTGGCGCTCGCCGACCTCGCCTACCTCTGCACGGTCCCCTTCGTGGTGTGCACCAACGTGGCGCGCACCTGGTTCTTCGGCGACGCGGGCTGCCGCCTCCTCTTCGGCGTCGACCTCGTCACCATGCACGCCATCATCTTCCTGCTCACGGCGATGAGCGCAGAGCGCTACGCGGCGGTCGCGCGGCCCCTCCGCCACTACACGGGGGGCCGCTGCAACGCGGCGTCGTCTCGACGCGGCTGGGCCGTGGCGCTCTTCGTCTGGGTCCTGTCGCTGGCCGCTGCCGCGCCCAACATGGTGATGGTCAACCTCGGCGAGCTGAGACTGCGCGGCGGCGGCATGGCGCGCATCTGCGTGCCCAGCTGGAGCCCCGGCGCGTTCCGCTGCTACATCACCGTGCTGTTCGTGACGAGCGTCGTGGCGCCGGGACTCATCATCGGCTGCCTCTACGTGCGACTCGCCGTCAAGTACTGGCGCTCGCAGACCGCCACCGCCGTGGCCTCCACGCGCTCCCCGAGGGTCAAGGTGCTCTACATGATCCTCGCCATCGTGGTGGTCTTCTGGGCCTGCTTCCTGCCTTTCTGGGCCTGGCAGCTGGCCAACCTCTACTTCCGAGACCGCCTGGGCATCTCGCGGAAGGCCGTCTCGTACATCAACCACGCGGTCACGTGCCTCACGTACGGCAACAGCTGCGTGAACCCGTTCCTCTACACGCTGCTCACCAAGAAGTACAAGGAGTACCTGGCTCGCAGGAGGACGCCGCGTGGTGCTGCCGGCGCGGGCAGGGCGCTCGGAGGCTCCAGGGGCTCCACCTCGTCGCACGACGCGCCCTGCAGGAACGTGCGCATCTCCTCGCGGCGCTCTACGATGACGAGCGCTTAGAGGATCTCGGCTTGAGAGAGGGGGGCATCTCGAGCGACAGAGAGAGAGAGACATTTGGAGCGACAGAGAGAGAGATTTGGCGACAGAGAGAGAGACATTTGAAGCGACAGAGAGAGACATTTGAAGCGACAGAGAGAGACATTTGGAGCGACAGAGAGAGACATTTGGAGCGACAGAGAGAGAGACATTTGAAGCGACAGAGAGAGACATCTGGAGCCAGAGAGGAAGGGAGACATCGCGAGCCAGAGGATTTCTCAAGTCGGAAGACGCGGTGAGGTCAGAGGACACATGAATGCAGGTCATGTCGAGTCAGCGGATCGAATGAATGTCAGCACCACGGTGGTGAGATGTTAACTACCTCGCCTGGTATACAGGAGGTCGTGGGTTCGATCCCGACCCTGACGCCTCCTGCTGTATATTTGGAGTTTGCATGTTCTCCCCGTGGTAGCGTGGATTTTTCTCCGGATCCTCCGGTTTTCCCTCCACATTTAGAATAAACACGCGTTTAGAGGATTTGCTTGCGATAAATTTGCACATGTTAGGCCACTGAGTTGAGCTATCATTTGTGGCCAGGTCGCTTCTGAAAAAACAGGTACACAGCTTAGTGGACCTTACACCTGGTGAAATAAAAACACATCGTTGTAGTTTATTGTTTTATCTCAAAGGTCAGAGGACATCCGAAGCTTGCGTGACATCTCAATGACGCGTGCTTACATGACCTAATGCCGAGAGACACGTCTCGAGCGCGAAGATTTCTAAATCCAGAGAAATAAAGCGTCACGGTGGCCAGCGGCAGTTTTTGCTTTTAGTGCTTAGTCCGTTGCTCTCTCCCGCACCTCCGTTGAGCACGGTCAGATACGTACGGCGCGAAAGAAGTTCAACGTACAAACACTGCTCAAGATTGACAACCGTTATATTCATCACCAGCAGCACGTCTTATCAACACCACCACCACCATTATCATCACGAAATGACATTGTATCAATGCCGTCGTTGCGCTCAAGTTAATACTACTAATAATAGTAACGATGCTATGTTTTTTTTTACGCGAACAATATTTCACGGACATCGCAAACGATCGGCAGCTTCGAGGCGCCGAGCAGCGTTCCGTGTGTCTCGAACGCCAGGCGAGAGAGAGGGGGAGGGAGAAGAGTGGGAAGATGATGGGTCAGGATGTGTTAGGACGCATTCGTCAAAATAGGAAAGCCTCACAGAGTCTCGTGTTTGGGAGGAGGCGGAGGAGGGTGCTGTCAAGTTTTCGCTGTAGAGGGAAGTTAAAGATGATTGTTGCTGCTGCTGCAGCTGTGTGTTTCAATATTTCAGTTTCATTTATTTGGAATAACCCTGTGAGCCATTCGGCTCTTGATTCGGGTGCAACCGCAACAAAGAATAAAATTACAAGATACATTTAAAATATGTGATCCCAAACCCCGAGTGCATTTGCGGTGAATATTTAGCTTTGTTTAAATTTGGGCGAATGTACTGACTCGTGTCGTGTCATCGTCTATGCGTTCGGTGTTAAATGTGGTTGTGGTTATTGTTGTGTGTGTGGAGAGAGAGATAGGGATGTTGACGGGTTTTATAAGAGGCGACTGTGTTAGTGGTTTATGTTGAGTCAACGCTTTCAAAATCTGACTGTGTCCATCATCATCAACATATTCATTATCAACATTATTACCAACATATTAATAATCGAATTCAAAATCATCAACATATACATTATCTAAATCAACATAATCATCATCATCAACATATTAATTATCTAAATCGATATCATCATCAACACATTCATTATCTAAATCAACATCATCAACACATCCATTATCCACATCATCATCAGCATATTGATTGTCTACATCAACATCAATGTTATGATCAACATCATCAACACATCCATTATCCACATCATCATCAACATATTGATTGTCTACATCAACATCGATGTTATCATCAACATCATCAACACATCCATTATCCACATCATCATCAACATATTTATTGTCAACATCCATGTTATCATCAACATCATCAACATATTCATTCATCAATATCGTCTACATCAACATTAATCATTGGTACAGTAATGCCGCCCGTCCACATCATCAACATCAACACCAATCGCTGTTGTAGCAACATCGTTAATGTGTTCTCATCCACGATATCACAACAAGACCGGTGTGTTGACATCACATCCAACATCATCATCGTCGTCAAAAATCACTCTTACGGCATTCCCGTTACGGCGCTAAGACATCAACATCATCACCAACATCACCATCATCCTTAACATCATCAACATCATCAAAATCATCATGGTCAGCTCATTTCTTTAGAACTGCTTTTTGTGTTTATTTTTATGTCGTTCACCAGCACCTCCGATTAGCACGGTTGGCTACGTACGGCGCGAAAGAAGTTCCACATACGTACCAGCAATCACTTCTACGGCAGTCCAGATTAAGTGTCAAGCCGTCATCATTGTTCTGTATTCTCATGCTCAGGAGGGCCATCATCAGCATCGCTGCGTGTCCGGGACGTCTGTGGCATCTGTAAAAAAATAGAGCTTCATAGCTCATCGGATTCCTCCAGTATAAATAAACATTCTGATTCTGAACGTTCGTTACAACGTGAGCCCCAAAGTGTCCGCGTGTCTCTGTCCCCCGCCGAAGATTCGCGACTCGGCACCACGACCCCTGGGATAGCCACGACTCTGATCACGCACGGATCCCGCACGCGCCTTTGTCTTCCTCGATCGATACAAGCCACGTGTGCGCTTTCTGGCTCTTCGGGTTTGAAGCGGCGTGTTGTTCGGCATGATGTCCGACGTTTCGCTCGATTTTTTTCGGTGCAACTGTTTGAGCAGAATTTAGTTTATTTTCGTTATTATCGCCGTTGCACGAGCGCACAGATCCAGTGATCCAAACCGCCAAGCCGGCTCGCGACACACACGTGTGGTGTGTGTGTGTTGTGTGTGTTGTGTTGCGTGTTTGTGTTGCGTGTGCTGTGTATGTGTTGTGTGTGTTATGTGTGTTGTATGTGTTATGTGTGTTGTGTGTGTTGTGTGTGTGTGTTTCGTGTCTTGTGTGTGTTGTGTGTGTTGTGTGTGTGTGTTGTGTGTGTGTTTGTTGTGTGTGTTGTGTGTGTTGTGTGTGTGTTGTGTGTGTGTTATGTGTGTTGTGTGTGTGTTGTGTGTGTTGTGTGTGTTGTGTGTGTTGTGTGTGTTGTGTGTGTGTTGCGTGTGTTGTGTGTGTGCGTTGTTTGTGTGTTGTGTGTGTGTGTGGCCGAACCCGGCGACCAGAGTTCGATTCCCGCTCACGGCCACCAACACCGGTGACGGTTATTTGAACCGGTCATGGGCCTCCCCTAGGTCGACTCAGCCTCAAATGACTAACTGGCGTTGTGTGTAGTAAACATCGCCACTGCGGAGACAAAGGCGGCCGGGCGTGGTGCTTGCCACCCACCCGGCCTGCAAAGGTGCTCACTAACCGCACTTTGCTACACGGGGGATCTTTGTCTTTGTATTTGAGGGTTCGCACGTTTGGCTAGGCCACGTGGCCAAACACGCACGTAAATGTTGACGACTTACTTAAGTTCATAATCAACGTTTTTGAGTTTAGATCGCGTTATTTATAAATGTGTCGTAACCCTCCACCACCCGACACGGCCAATCAGTAAAAAAGTGTCACGTTGACAAAAGACAAATAGTTCACTGCTTTAGCCCACCGGTGTGTTGAAGCGTGAAACCACAACATTTACAATTTGAGTACGACGTTTCGCTAGTAATTGCATCCAGCAACATCGGGCAATTCGCCAGAATTACGACACATTTATAAATAACGCGATCTAAACCCAAAAACGCTGATTATGAATAATATTGGTCGCGAAAGCCGACGTTTTAAACGGACTTACTTAAGCTTACGCGTTAAGCAACGAATTAAAGTCGTGAAAGACGAGTTGTTACAACAACAGCAACAACACATTCCGTGTTAATAGCACTGTGGCCTGAAAATAATGTAAATATAAAATAGGTGACGTTTCGGACAATGTCCCTTCTTGAGGACAACATATTGAGGTCACTCTACCGAATGGGACCTTTTTGCCGGCGTCAAAGTATGAAACAATAAGAATAGGTTTGTCATGACACTCTACCTCGCTGCGAAGGACCATTGCCCGAAACGTTATGTACTTGTTTTATTTTCGAGGTCAGAGTGTTGTTGTTGGTAGTGTTGTTGACACGGAATGCGTACAATGTTATCTTTGCTGCTTGTGCACCACTGTCCACGTACCAGCACGGGCTAATTTTTGTCGTTGCAATATTTGATACCAAGGCCGTAATTATAATATTCAAATATGCTCAAAATGTCCCCCCCCCCCCCAATATATTCCTATAAAAATACTTTAAAAAATTATAATTGCGATGCTATGTAAATAAAAACAACAATTTGCTAAACCGTGGCCACAATATCTGGACTTGTCTTCATATAACAACGCATAGATTTCTGTTTATATGATTGTGGTTATGCTTGTACTTTATGAATCCCTAATCTCTGCCATTACATACAATGAAACAAGAAAAGGTAAAAAAAAAACAGAGCAATGTAATGCAATACACTTTTAGACATTATTGTAAAAAATAACTAAAAAGACCCTCCCATGTGTTAGTGAATTTTTTTATATTTTAGGCAGGAAATTCGTTTTCAAATTTAGATTTTTTTTTCTGGGGGGGGGGACCCCAGACCCCCTGGAAGATTTGGTCCCCCCCCCTAATGTAGACTCCATGGCTACAGCCTTGGTTGACACAAAGATTCATTAGTTTATTTTATCTAAAGCCCTCCGCTGCCCGACAGAGACAGTGAAATTGAAGGGTGATAGTGATACAAAACAAAAGTTACATTCCGCTTGCACGATGATCTAACCAAAAAGAAACGAACTCTGAATCATATTGGTCGTGAAAAGCGACGCGTATTAAAACAAAATCTATATAAATAGTTAATAGAGTCGGACGGGATGTCACAACAACTGGTACAACTTAACAGCAACACAACTTAGCAGCAACACGCAACACAACTCAGCAGCAACACGCAACACAACTCAACAGCAACACGCAACACAACTCAACAGCAACACGCAACACAACTTAGCAGCAACACGCAACACAACTCAACAGCAACACGCAACACAACTCAGCAGCAACACGCAACACAACTCAACAGCAACACGCAACACAACTCAGCAGCAACACGCAACACAACTCAGCAGCAACACGCAACACAACTCAGCAGCAACACGCAACTCAACTCAACAGCAACACGCAACACAACTCAACAGCAACACCACAACACAACTCAGCAGCAACACGCAACACAATTCAACAGCAACACGCAACACAACTCAGCAGCAACACGCAACACAACTCAGCAGCAACACGCAACACAACTCAGCAGCAACACGCAACTCAACTCAACAGCAACACGCAACACAACTCAGCAGCAACACGCAACACAACTCAACAGCAACACGCAACACAACTCAACAGCAACACGCAACACAACTCAGCAGCAACACGCAACACAACTCAACAGCAACACGCAACACAACTCAGCAGCAACACGCAACACAACTCAGCAGCAACACGCAACACAGCTTAGCAGCAACACGCAACACAACTCAGCAGCAACACGCAACACAACTCAACAGCAACACGCAACACAACTTAGCAGCAACACGCAACACAACTTAGCAGCAACACGCAACACAACTCAGCAGCAACACGCAACACAACTCAGCAGCAACACGCAACACAACTCAACAGCAACACGCAACACAACTCAACAGCAACACGCAACACAACTTAGCAGCAACACGCAACACAACTCAGCAGCAACACGCAACACAACTTAGCAGCAACACGCAACACAACTTAGCAGCAACACGCAACACAACTCAGCAGCAACACGCAACACAACTCAACAGCAACACGCAACACAACTCAACAGCAACACGCAACACAACTCAGCAGCAACACGCAACACAACTCAGCAGCAACACGCAACACAACTCAGCAGCAACACGCAACACAACTCAACAGTAACACGCAACACAACTCAGCAGCAACACGCAACACAACTCAACATCAACACGCAACACAACTTAGCAGCAACACGCAATACAACTCAACAGTAACACGCAACACAACTTAGCAGCAACACGCAACACAACTCAGCAGCAACACGCAACACAACTCAGCAGCAACACGCAACACAACTCAACAGCAACACGCAACACAACTCAGCAGCAACACGCAACACAACTCAACAGCAACACGCAACACAACTCAGCAGCAACACGCAACACAACTCAGCAGCAACACGCAACACAACTCAGCAGCAACACGCAACACAACTCAACAGCAACACGCAACACAACTCAACAGCAACACGCAACACAACTTAGCAGCAACACGCAACACAACTCAGCAGCAACACGCAACACAACTCAGCAGCAACACGCAACACAACTCAGCAGCAACACGCAACACAACTCAACAGCAACACGCAACACAACTTAGCAGCAACACGCAACACAACTCAGCAGCAACACGCAACACAACTCAGCAGCAACACGCAACACAACTCAGCAGCAACACGCAACACAACTCAACAGTAACACGCAACACAACTCAGCAGCAACACGCAACACAACTCAACAGCAACACGCAACACAACTTAGCAGCAACACGCAACACAACTCAACAGTAACACGCAACACAACTTAGCAGCAACACGCAACACAACTCAGCAGCAACACGCAACACAACTCAGCAACAGCACGCAACACAACTTAGCAGCAACACGCAACACAACTCAACAGCAACACGCAACACAACTCAGCAGCAACACGCAACTCAACTCAACAGCAACACGCAACACAACTCAACAGCAACACGCAACACAACTCAGCAACAGCACGCGGCACAACTTAGCAGGGACAAAGGCACGCCTATAGATTTAGCCTCCACAACCACAGTGGCTGATTTCGATTTAAAGCTTTCGTGACTGCAGGGATTCATATTCTTGGTTCTTTCGGTAAAGTCACGTAGAAGGGAAATAATAAAATAATGAAAATATAAAACAATAAAATTTCTCACGACGTTTCGACTGCAACACAAACAATCATCATCAGGTGTGAAATCCACACTTTTTTAAAAAATTCTTGCTGTGGATTTCACACCTCATGATGATTGCTTGTGTTGCAATCGAAACGTCGTGAGAAATTTTATTGTTTTATATATTTTTTTTAATTTCCCTTCTACGTGACTTTATCGAAAGAACCAAGAATATTCAGTGGCTATTCTTATGCTGTTGTCGGCAATGTTAGTCCAGTCCGTAGTAGTGGTTATTCGATATATTATATCACAATCGCGTACTCGTAGGTGTACGTTGTTCCTATGTGAGAATGTATCTGTGTGTGTGTGTGTGTGAGCATGTGTGCATTTGTGTACTTACATTGCTGGGTTGTGTGTGTGTGTTCGGTGTGTTCCAAGTTTCATGTCTTAGGTATAACCCTGTGAGCCATGCGGCTCTTGAGTCCGCTGCAACCGCAACAAACAAAATATGAACAGAGAAGATCTTAAAGCGACGACGCGCAACAAAAACATCCTGGATAAACCAGCAAATCTTCCAAGAAAAAACACACACCGTGTTACAACGCTGTGTGAAAAAATCCCAGTGTTGATGCAAGTCAAACAACAACAACCATAAGACAATTTAGATAAAATTTATCAGGCCAACTCCGCACTTCCGCAAGACACATGGCTTAACCATGTTTTTGAAATTACCAAAATTAATCTATAAAAACAACAACAGTAATCATAGGAGCTTTGAGTGTGTGCCTGTGGGTGGGGAGCGGTGGCGAGGTGGTTGGGACGTTTGGCTCCGAACCCGGCGACCCGAGTTCGATTCACAGCTCACGGCCACTACCAACGCGAGCTACGGTTCTCTGAACCGGTCATGGGCCTCCCCCTAGGTCGACTCAGCCGCAAATTAGTACCTGGTTGCGGTGTGTAGTAAACATCGCCACTGGGGAGACAAAGGCGGCCGGGCGTTGGTTGCTGGCCACCTACCCCCTCGTGTGCCGTGCCGGCCTTCATAGGCGCTACTCGCTAACAGCACTTGCCCCAACACTTG